GCCTCGCCATGGTCCTCTCTGGTCACACACCATGAGGAAGGGGAGCCATGCCCAAAGGACCAGTGGAAAGGATGGCGGTAACTTTATGCCTCTGTGTTAGTTCGCTAACACACCTACTAAAATTGGAACGATACAGAGAAGATTAGCATGGCCCCTGCGCAAGGATGACACGCAAATTCGTGAAGCGTTCCTCATTTTTGGCACCCCTGTTGTGCCATGGGATGCTCTGGTGCCACACTCTCGATGGAATTGCTTTCTAAATTTGGTTTGACCTGTGCTGAAATGGTATTCTCCGTCTGCTGCGGCTTTATTTCCACGCAAAAAACCACTACGTGAAACTCGGCGCGCTCGTCTGTTGAGCAAGAGGTTAGTGATTCGAGCACAGCAAGGGACGCTCTGTCATATGTAGCAACCTTGTGTTGGATGCAATGAATGGACTTTTGTGTTGAAACCTTGTTCCCATACCGGGAGTTGAACCCGGGCCGCCTGGGTGAGAACCAGGAATCCTAACCGCTAGACCATATGGGATTTACCAGATAAAAAAACACAAGAGATTGTGCTCCGCACTAGACTTGTGACCCAACACTGCAGCGGCAAGTGATTGTAATTGCTTAGCCTCAAGTATTCAATATGAGAGCAAAACATTCCCTTTGAAAGTGCTACCAGAGGAATTGTTTTAATGACACAACTGGCAATTGCAGGCAAAAAAATAAAAAATAAAAGAAGTTTTTTTTCCAAATTACAATTTGCTCAACATCTTTTTCTCGGAAATGTTGTTCCATGCATCCAACCGGAAAAAAGGGTCTTTAGAGGTTATTTTGTCTTTTGCAAGACGGGAGAGGTGTTGTCCAGGGGCCTTGAGACCGATGCTTTATGTATCTCAGAGAGGGCTTGCATTGGCCGGGAATCGAACCCGGAACTCCCGCGTGGCAGGCGAGAATCCTACCATTGGACCACCAATGCGTTACCAACTCACTTTTAGGGTTTAAAAAAAAAAAAAAAAATGGTTGGAGGAACCAAAAAATTCAAGAGCGGAAGGCTTTTGCGACGGGGATGGGATTCGAACCCACGTGTGCAGAGCACAATGGATTAGCAGTCCATCGGCTTAACCACTCGGCCACCTCGTCGAAACCTTGAGAGTAAGAAGGGCTAGTGCCTGGCCGCACTTTGGGCAACGGACTTGTTGACGAGGAAGCGCCTCGCCATGGTCCTCTCTGGTCACACACCATGAGGAAGGGGAGCCATGCCCAAAGGACCAGTGGAAAGGATGGCGGTAACTTTATGCCTCTGTGTTAGTTCGCTAACACACCTACTAAAATTGGAACGATACAGAGAAGATTAGCATGGCCCCTGCGCAAGGATGACACGCAAATTCGTGAAGCGTTCCTCATTTTTGGCACCCCTGTTGTGCCATGGGATGCTCTGGTGCCACACTCTCGATGGAATTGCTTTCTAAATTTGGTTTGACCTGTGCTGAAATGGTATTCTCCGTCTGCTGCGGCTTTATTTCCACGCAAAAAACCACTACGTGAAACTCGGCGCGCTCGTCTGTTGCTCGTCTGTTGAGCAAGAGGTTAGTGATTCGAGCACAGCAAGGGACGCTCTGTCATATGTAGCAACCTTGTGTTGGATGCAATGAATGGACTTTTGTGTTGAAACCTTGTTCCCATACCGGGAGTTGAACCCGGGCCGCCTGGGTGAGAACCAGGAATCCTAACCGCTAGACCATATGGGATTCACCAGGTAAAAAAACACAAGAGATTGTGCTCCGCACTAGACTTGTGACCCAACACTGCAGCGACAAGTGATTGTAAATGCTCAGCCTCAAGTATTCAATATGAGAGCAAAACATTCCCTTTGAAAGTGCTACCAGAGGAATTGTTTTAATGACACAACTGGCGATTGCAGGCAAAAAAAAAAATAAAAAAAATAAAAAGAATTTTTTTTTCCAAATTACAATTTGCTCAACATCTTTTTCTCGGAAATGTTGTTCCATGCATCCAACCGGAAAAAAGGGTCTTTAGAGGTTATTTTGTCTTTTGCAAGACGGGAGAGGTGTTGTCCAGGGGCCTTGAGACCGATGCTTTATGTATCTCAGAGAGGGCTTGCATTGGCCGGGAATCGAACCCGGACCTCCCGCGTGGCAGGCGAGAATCCTACCATTGGACCACCAATGCCTTACCAACTCACTTTTAGGGTTTAAAAAAAAAAAAAATGGTTGGAGGAACCAAAAAATTCAAGAGCGGAAGGCTTTTGCGACGGGGATGGGATTCGAACCCACGTGTGCAGAGCACAATGAATTAGCAGTCCATCGCCTTAACCACTCGGCCACCTCGTCGAAACCTTGAGAGTAAGAAGGGCTAGTGCCCGGCCGCACTTTGGGCAACGGACTTGTTGACGAGGAAGCGCCTCGCCATGGTTCTCTCTGGTCACACACCATGAGGAAGGGGAGCCATGCCCAAAGGACCAGTGGAAAGGATGGCGGTAACTTTATGCCTCTGTGTTAGTTCGCTAACACACCTACTAAAATTGGAACGATACAGAGAAGATTAGCATGTCCCCTGGGCAAGGATGACACGCAAATTCGTGAAGCGTTCCTCATTTTTGGCACCCCTGTTGTGCCATGGGATGCTCTGGTGCCACACACTCGATGGAATTGCTTTCTAAATTTGGTTTGACCTGTGCTGAAATGGTATTCTCCGTCTGCTGCGGCTTTATTTCCACGCAAAAAACCACTACGTGAAACTCGGCGCGCTCGTCTGTTGCTCAAGAGGTTAGTGATTCGAGCACAGCAAGGGACGCTCTGTCATATGTAGCAACCTTGTGTTGGATGCAATGAATGGACTTTTGTGTTGAAACCTTGTTCCCATACCGGGAGTTGAACCCGGGCTGCCTGGATGAGAACCAGGAATCCTAACCGCTAGACCATATGCGATTCACCAGATAAAAAAACACAAGAGATTGTGCTCCGCACTAGACTTGTGACCCAACACTGCAGCGGCAAGTGATTGTAATTGCTCAGCCTCAAGTATTCAATATGAGAGCAAAACATTCCCTTTGAAAGTGCTACCAGAGGAATTGTTTTAATGACACAACTGGCGATTGCAGGCAAAAAAAATAAAAATACAAATAAAAAGATTTTTTTTTTCCAAATTACAATTTGCTCAACATCTTTTTCTCGGAAATGTTGTTCCATGCATCCAACCGGAAAAAAGGGTCTTTAGAGGTTATTTTGTCTTTTGCAAGACGGGAGAGGTGTTGTCCAGGGGCCTTGAGACCAATGCTTTATGTATCTCAGAGAGTGCTTGCATTGGCCGGGAATCGAACCCGGACCTCCCTTGTGGCAGGCGAGAATCCTACCATTGGACCACCAATGCCTTACCAACTCACTTTTAGGGTTTAAAAAAAAAAAAAAATGGTTGGAGGAACCAAAAAATTCAAGAGCGGAAGGCTTTTGCGACGGGGATGGGATTCGAACCCACGTGTGCAGAGCACAATGGATTAGCAGTCCATTGCCTTAACCACTCGGCCACCTCGTCGAAACCTTGAGAGTAAGAAGGGCTAGTGCCCGGCCGCACTTTGGGCAACGGACTTGTTGACGAGGAAGCGCCTCGCCATGGTCCTCTCTGGTCACACACCATGAGGAAGGGGAGCCATGCCCAAAGGACCAGTGGAAAGGATGGCGGTAACTTTATGCCTCTGTGTTAGTTCGCTAACACACCTACTAAAATTGGAACGATACAGAGAAGATTAGCATGGCCCCTGCGCAAAAGCAGGGGCCCAATCTTTTAGCTCCCCGCACACGCAAAAGCGGCGCAAATGGCGCGGAAGGGGGAGAGTTTTCACTGAATGATGAAAGGAGGACCCTCAAAGAACATTTTTGCATGTCGTGGTTCTGAGATTAAAAACACTGTTAATATCAGTGGCAGTCCAGGGCTGGCCTCGATCCCACAGCCCTGGGGTTAAAGCAGACACGTGCCTCATCCTTCCGCAACATTGTATCCGTTATATAGTCCCGCAGGAGAGCAGATTCTTTCATCCATCTTATTAGTTATGTTAGATATGTTTAGTTCTTGGATTGTTTACACTATTACATTGTTTTGGTAATTTCCTGTGCCCAGACCTTTATTTATATGTGAATTAATAACTGGATATTAATATTATAAATAAATAATATAGCTTTTATGTCAATATATATTCTACATATGTTCCAGGCATTGTGAAGTAACTGCACACACTGCAAACAGTGTATAATGCTCATTTTTAAGTGATTTATTTGTACTGTTTGGTCACATAAAAGTATAAATATATCATTTTTGCAACAAAACTATGTAGGCTATTACTGTTTATGCTTAACATGTAATTAATGTACCAAAGATGTAACTGCATTTGAGACTGAACTTGGTAGCAATCAGGAGTCATAAAAGAACACAGGGGTCACTGAAGTTCGTGTGATGCGCACCTGCCCTGACCCCCCACGGACCCCCCCGGACACTTGTGTTCAAAGACAAGCTGCTGTGATTTAAGTAAACATTGCACATTCCAGTCCCAAGGCAATTTAAAGCAGCACAATGAATAGAAGTGTGAACAAACCGTATTTATTTACTACAACTAAGTATAAGACATTAATAGACAACAATAAACAACTGACAATGTAGAAATAGAATAGCACATTCTGTAATATAAATGAAACTAAGACATAACACAAAGATGGAAAAATCTAAATAAATTACTATTTACACATAGATACGTATTTACAAGTATTTACAAACAATATTTACAAGTATTTACAAACAATATTTACAAGTATTTACAAACAATATTTACAAGTATTTACAAACAATATTTACAAGTATTTACAAACAATATTTACAAGTATTTACAAACAATATTTACAAGTATTTACAAACAATATTTACAAGTATTTACAAACAATATTTACAAGTATTTACAAACAATATTTACAAGTATTTACAAACAATATTTACAAGCATATATTATTATAGAGGTGGCTGTCCATGCGTTTTCTGCTGGCGTTGTTCTACCAGCCACTCCTCTCTTGATTTGCCACCAGAGACACTAGGGCAAAAGGTGGCACTGCCAAACCGGCTGTGGCCGAACTCCTTAGTTTTGGGCTGGCCACACTTGGAGCATTTGTTAAATGCCGCTTCACGGACATAGCGTCTTTTGTGAGCTCCACTGGCCTCCTCTTCTGCCCTGCGTCGTCTGTTGCTCTGCGTGGAGCGGGGCACAGACACTGGGGCAGTGGGAGCAGGAGCCACAGGAGTTGGAGCCAGGAGAGGAGCAGCTGAAGGGCCACCTGCACCTTTTGAAATCAGCGTGGGCACAGGGTTCAAAACAAAAAACTGGGGCAGTGGCGCAGGAGGAAGAGGAGCTGCTGGGGTGATGGGCCGCACAACTGTAGCACTGGCAGGTCGTTTGCCAGGCCGCACCTGTCCCGCTCGGTTTGGAGGCAGGACAAATTCATGCCGGGCCCCTGATGTGGAGGGAGCCTCATCCAGGCTTTCCCGCGGAGCAGGAAGCTGTGAGCTGGCCACAGCGAGGCAGTCCTCTGCAGCAAGGCCCTGGGAGAGGACAGTGACTTCCTGGCTGTTCTCTCTTCGATTAAACCTGCAATAAAAAAAAAAAATGTATTATGAATAACTGCTATCCTTTTCTTTCAAATGTCAATGTAAAACATTATGCTACTGTGCTTACCACTGAGTGAGAGTCCTCTGATTCAGCACAAACAGCTGAAGTGACGTGGCCTCCATCAGAGTGTGGCAGTTCAGCACCAGGTCTCGGATGTGGTGGTACTCGTTGAGCACCTTAGTCCAACGAGGAAGACGGACTCCATCCTTTTTTGTTGGGGACTTGTGCAGTGCACACAGTTTGATGCACATGGCCTCAACTAAACGACTGGTGCTGGGCCACTGAGCCGGCCCCCCAGGATGACCGATCAGGCACCTCTTCACACTGTCCACACCTGGTGTCACTCCTGTATTTTTTGGCAGCTTGAAGCGTCCATGGGTCAGCTTGGGCTGGTGTCTGGGCTGATAATGGATCTTCCTCTTGTCCCCATCAGGAAGAGCAGTCCACAGACGGATGACCTCTGTGACCTGCTGCTCGTCCAGATAGAGTGCCTGACGGAGGGACACCAGGTACTCAGCCAGATCCTGCACCTTATCCCAGCCTGCGACGCCACTGGGTCCAAGAACAGGAGCCTGCAGGGAAGTATTACAATAACAATACACAGCATGTTAAATGTCAGAGTGTAAAAGCAAATAGAAACTAATAATGAGCAGCTTACTTACAGGAGCCTGGTCTGCAACACTGGACCCAGTTGATGTTGCAGGACCAGAGGCAGCACTTGGCTGGGCAGAAGGCTGTGGAGGAGACTGCAGAGGAGGCTGAGCAGGGCGCAGCTGAGGAGACTGCAGAGGAGGCTGAGCAGGGCGCAGCTGAGGAGACTGCAGAGGAGGCTGAGCAGGGCGCAGCTGAGGAGACTGCAGAGGAGGATGGGCAGGGCGCAGCTGAGGAGACTGCAGAGGAGGCTGGGCAGGGCGCAGCTGAGGAGACTGCAGAGGAGGCTGGGCAGGGCGCAGCTGAGGAGACTGCAGAGGAGGCTGAGCAGGGCGCAGCTGAGGAGACTGCAGAGGAGGCTGAGCAGGGTGCAGCTGAGGAGACTGCAGAGGAGGCTGAGCAGGGTGCAGCTGAGGAGACTGCAGAGGAGGCTGGGCAGGGCGCAGCTGAGGAGACTGCAGAGGAGGCTGGGCAGGGCGCAGCTGAGGAGACTGCAGAGGAGGCTGGGCAGGGCGCAGCTGAGGAGACTGCAGAGGAGGCTGAGCAGGGCGCAGCTGAGGAGACTGCAGAGGAGGCTGAGCAGGGTGCAGCTGAGGAGACTGCAGAGGAGGCTGGGCAGGGCGCAGCTGAGGAGACTGCAGAGGAGGCTGGGCAGGGCGCAGCTGAGGAGACTGCAGAGGAGGCTGAGCAGGGCGCAGCTGAGGAGACTGCAGAGGAGGCTGAGCAGGGTGCAGCTGAGGAGACTGCAGAGGAGGCTGGGCAGGGCGCAGCTGTCCTTGACTGGATGTGGGTGGCTGCAGTGAGGATGGTCCCGGTGCGGAGGGACAGGGGTTGAAGGCCTGGGAGCCACTGCTGTGGACTGGGACAGTCTCAATGGCGTCATAGAGGACTGGCACTGTGAGGTCCTCTGGTTCCTCCTCAACGAAGCCTTCGTCCTGTACCACCTCATCGTCCATCTGCTCCACCAGCCGATCCTCCTCCTCCGGGTTATCCATAACAGACAGGGATTTCCCAGACTGACTGTACAGATACTCCATCCCGAGCAGCTCTCCTGCCATAGAACACATACAAAGCACAATCACATTATTATAACCTTCTTATGTCAATTAGACCCTACCAGTGACCAATAAACAATAACGTAAACAACCTTCTAAATTAGCCAAAATAATAAACAAGTAAATAATAAGCATAAACGCAAAATAAAGCATCAGGTACCCCAGCTTTAACATATAACAATAATTCTCACCCGTGTAAGCCCCTGGAGGCTGGTAGTGCTCATCCAGGGACGTCTTCAGCACTTTTCGGCTGAGCCGGTCCATGGCCTCCCTGTCAGCGCTGCTGTAGGTCCTCAGGTCAGTCTTTCCCCCCACCGCTTCATCCATACGGTCCTGGTTCCAGCGCATCAGGCCTTCCAGGAGATAGGCCTGGAAATGCGCATCACTGGCACTGGTCCCTAGAGGTAAAGTCAAATATATGTAATAGATGTATTCAGAACAAACATTTTTTAAAACTGTAGTCTGCCTTAAAGTTATAACGTACCTGGGATGAAGCGGTTCAAGTGGAGGTGAAAAGACTCCAAAGAGGTGGAGCCACGAGCGCACCGGTAGCATCTGAGCTCCACACCACCCTTCTTCAGTGTGCCTGTCTTCTGGTACAGAGGGAAGCCCTCTGGATCCTGAATACAGGCAATGTGCCTCTGCTGGTCTATCCAGACCTGTTGGATGCGCTCGTGGTCCAGCAGTGGTACGCCCAGAGTGTCCCTCCCCTTCTCACTGTCCATCTCTTCAATGAGCGCCCTGATCCTCCTGGTGGTCTCCTCCACTCCTCTGGTGCGCTTGCGACAGTGCAGCGACAACTCCTTCCTGGTGATCAGCTTATCCAGGGCCTTCTCTGAGACTGGACCAGCTCCTCTGGCCTGTAGCTCCCCCTGTTTGGCCAGCCGAAGGGCAGCGACATCCTCTGGATCCAGCTCAAAGATGCACCTGGAAAGCCGAGTCATGAAGGTGCCGTAGAGTGATGAGCCTCTGTGATGACGCCTGCCGCAAAGCGCCGCATGAAGTGCCAGATGTCCAGGCGCACTTGGAGCTCATCCCACTCTGCAAACATGGCTCTGACCTGCGACTGTCCGTGTGCGTGTGGGCTGCAGCAGTCTCTGTCCACGTACATGATGGCGGGCGGTGCCACTCCCGCCTCCCTGTACCTCTTCATGAGCCCCGCCGCCATGGGCCACAGTCCATGCCCCTCTGCCGCTGTCAGCACTGACACCAACACCTGGCCGTGCTCATTGCCCACATTAGAGCACCAACCAGCAGTGTTGGCAGCAGCACCGGCCAGTTTTTTAGTGACCTATGTAAAAAAAAAGAACAGTAGAATAATCTAATGTAAGAACAATAGAAGATAATAACAATTATTATTACTCAAACTTTACTTTTTATACCTTTTTGGTGGAGTCCATCTTGAGGACAGACCCAAAGACCGAAGTTATTTTGGCCTTGACCTCCGGTAGCCGTGAGAGGACGTCCCTGGCATACACAGACAACAGCCACTTGGGTTTGGGGATGGGTGGGAGGGGCGGGGTGCAGAGAAGACTGGAGGCTCAGTGATGGAGGAGTCTGTGAAGGGCTCACAGACAGTGAGGTACTCCAGCGTCCTCCGTGACCACGCTGAGGTGTGCTGCTCCTGCAGCTTTTTGTGAAGCTGCGTGACGCTGTTGCCCCGGGTCCTCTCCCGCATCATAATGACTACACGGTAGTCACACGAGTACCTACAGACAGTCAAATCATTCTGTTCAATGTCTTGTTATTTCAATGTTAATGTCAGTAAAGCAATGTATTTGATTGTATACAGTACAACAAATTACAGTGCATTGCTTTAATTATGAATGTGTTCTACCTGTATGTCAGGATGGCGGGGAATTTTCTGCGGTGTCCCATGTCGAGCTGTCCCAGGATGTCTTCAGACCAGGCTGGATACTTCTTCTTGCACCCTTTGCACTCCAGATACTCTGTGGCCATGTCATACCACCCGTCTATGTCCAGGACCTTGCGCACAGTGCGGTAAATGCCAGCAGCTGTCAGCTTGTGGTTACTGCAGGCTGGCTGGACACAGACAAGTGGAATGGACCACATCTTCAGCGGCATCCAGAGGAACAGGGGGCGGCAGAAGAAGATATCAGGAGAGGCAGGGGGCTGGGTGAAGACGGTCGGGGGCTGGGGAGGGTACCACCAGAAGTTGGGATGTGGCGTCAGCTCAGGCTTCCCTGTTTTTGTGTTGGCCCTGAACAGAGTCTTCCTGATCCAGTCCTGCTGGAAAGATAGAAGTTGCTCCTTCCAGTACCCAGGAAGCTCTGCAGGCGGATGGGACACCTGGCCAGGGGTCCACAATGCTGGAGGAGCAGGAGCAGCAGCAGGGCCTGGAACACGAGGTGGGGCCAGGGCAGGAGCACGAGGTGGGGCCAGGGCAGGAGCACGAGGTGGGGCCAGGGCAGGAGCACGAGGTGGGGCCAGGGCAGGAGCACGAGGTGGGGCCAGGGCAGGAGCACGAGGTGGGGCCAGGGCAGGAGCACGAGGTGGGGCCAGGGCAGGAGCACGAGGTGGGGCCAGGGCAGGAGCACGAGGTGGGGCCAGGGCAGGAGCACGAGGTGGGGCCAGGGCAGGAGCACGAGGTGGGGCCAGGGCAGGGCCTCTCGAGGCCGCAGTGGCTGGAGCGTAAAAAGACACCACATTAACATCTTATTGTTTTAGACTTTCATAGCATTCATTTTTCAGCTCTGCGATTACAAGGTTTAGTGCAAAGCATGTGAATGAATGAATGAATGAAATATTTATTTCAAAACCTGCACACATAATTTTACAGAAAACAAAACAAAAGCAAAACACGTACAGGGATTGAAAAGGGGTTGGAGGAAGCAAAATGCTTATATTAATCCAACCCCCCTCACCCAGACTCACAGGACAATCAATAAGACGGAAACAATACCATGCTGGGTAAAAACACATAATACAAATGTTTACTGTACAGTACATACAGTAAGAACAATACAACATCTACCACCAATGGTATGGGACAAGACAACTCACTCACACGCACACACACTCACACACACAGGATGATTAGTAGACAGGCAACATGATAATGAAACGATGGAAGGAAGCAGTGAAAATCATCCTGTTTTTCACCCAAGCACAATTAGGAGAAATACAAGAAGAAAAATTAGATGGGATCAGCCAAAGGTGAAGCAAAGCAGCACCGCTAACTACAACAGCCACTTATTCCAAGGGGAGTGGGGGACATGTGAGATGAGAAGAATGAGCTTTAGTCAGTGACTATGATTAAAAAATGAAATAAAAACCTTTTACATACACCTTTAAATTCCCTTTTTGCTTTGAAGATGTTCACTCAAAGAGTGAATGTAGATTGACACCTGAGAAGTGCCATTCCAGTGCCAGAAGTGTGTTGTAAAATAAAAGAACATGATATGTCATTTTAAAAATACTGTTGTCACAGAATTGTTTGTAAAATATTGTTTGAGATTTACATACCTTGAGGAAGTTGCTCCTCAGCTTGTGAGGCTACAGTTGCCATCTCCTCGTCATCTTCCTCCTCCAAAAAATCCCCAGCAGCAGAGTCTGTAAAATAAAATAAAGCACTGAGCACATGTCACCAACTCACCTGTATGTGTTAACTGATACTCACCACATGTAAAGAGCTGTCTCCGGGCTGCGGGCTCAGACGCAGGAGGGCGACGTGGTCCTACAGCTGTTTATAAAACACGTCTTGTCGTTACACATATATACTGCATTAATACTGTAATGATTTGAAAGCTGGTAAATAACTTACAAGGTTTGGCTGGCGACAAAATCTTTTGTGCCAGCTGTGAAGCAGATAAATGCTTCCCCCGCGCCAACAGGGCCTTCACATTGGCAACCAGCAGTGGCCTGCTTTGGGTGGCAGCAGGTGGAGGAGGAACACACACAGTGGCAGTGGGCACAGCAGCAGAGGGGGCAGATGCAGCGGGCATAGTGGTGGTGGGCAGGTGGGCTGGAGCCTGCCTCTTCAGCACGTATGCTTTGAAAAGGGCCATGTTGGTGTTGGGCCTGGCCTTTGCCTTCCTCAGGTAGGTGATGAGAGACTGAGCCTTCTTACTTGGGTCCTCATACACCTCCTTCATTGACCTACCCTTGAAGTCACCAAACTCCACCATCAGATAACCAGAGTCTCCCGTCCTCTGGGCCTCCTGCAGCATGGCCTGTTTTTTCAGGTACACCTCCACAGCCTCCCCTACCTCCCTGATCTGCGAGGTGTATCTGAGGAACAGGTGTTTATTGGCCGACAGCGGGTTGTCCCTCTCCTCCTCCCCCATGATGCTGCTGACCAGATACACGGCATACCCCAGTGAGTTCTCCAGCAGCCACAGGAACCTCTGGCCCTGGTGTTTTCCAAACTGGAGCTTGCAGTGAGCCAGAACCAGGGACTGGTCTCCAGGATTCCCTCCATTCTGCCTCACAAAGGCAGTGGCCTCAGCCAGGACCTCCTCCTTACACCTGGCTCTCCCCGCCACCACGATCTCACTCCTATTAGCCTCCTCAGTTGGCCCCATGAGGAGTTGACCCTCGGAGGTTTTCCGGAAAACAGGGAATGCATACATAATCTGAAAGGACACGGGCATAAACAGAACGTTACATAAATGTCATATTACAACTGAAAGTATTTTACTACACTGTTTGGTTTTAATGTAATTAATTAATGATTATACTATGTTTTATTAATTGAATTTACCTGTATTATTGTTATTGTATTCCACTGTGAATCCCTTTGAATTGCCTTGTGTGCAAATTGTGCTCTACAAATAAACCTTTATTCACTAGCCCTGGCTATATGACTGTAAATCATTTAATAATTGAAACACTGGATTTATAAAACCTGTCAGCACTCAAATGGGTTTTATTCACTTACAATTCATTCACTGCTGCCCTGGAGTCGCTAATTGTAGTAGTATTTATTCATATTAAAATACTGTACAGTCTTATCATATTTAGCTATAATGTATTACCAACAGCATCGTGACAGCATCCAGCCCTCCGAAAATACACCCGCATATTTTTAGGCTATTGTTTTATACATAAAATAGTGCGATGAAATTATTAAGAAAAAAAACACTTCTTGGTAAAATCTTGCTGGTATCATGCCATGCATAAATCGTTTTGTTATGTTTAGCTTTTGTAGCAGAGATTACTAGGAAGCACACAATATAACGTTAAGGCGCGTTTATGATCATGCATAAAAATATGACCATCAAACATATCTAAAACGTGATAGATTCCGCGGGGAAGAATCTCCATCAATCACGGATATTTATAGAAGCATTACGACGAGAATATGAAGGCAAAATTCGCCAGATTACATTACGAAAATAAGAACTTAGTATTAATGTTATTACTACACCATTACACAAGCTACGTTACACGCTAGAAACACTTATGCAACGGGTAAAATATGGATGTACAACTCACACAATGTCAGTATCATGTGCTGTCTCTGTGATGAACACAATAATAAACAAGCTAGTTAGGAAGTATTAACGTGACGCTACGCATCGTCAAAGAGTTGTTTTTCTCCGCAAAAACAAGGACAACAATTCATGTCATGCTAACAACAAGATGCCCTACGTGTCTAACACATTTAGCTGTTAAAAAAGTAAATATGTTTAAACCTACCGCTCGCTAAAGAAGTCCAGACAGATGTCGATGACTGACTTGTTGACGAGGAAGCGCCTCGCCATGGTCCTCTCTGGTCACACACCATGAGGAAGGGGAGCCATGCCCAAAGGACCAGTGGAAAGGATGGCGGTAACTTTATGCCTCTGTGTTAGTTCGCTAACACACCTACTAAAATTGGAACGATACAGAGAAGATTAGCATGGCCCCTGCGCAAGGATGACACGCAAATTCGTGAAGCGTTCCTCATTTTTGGCACCCCTGTTGTGCCATGGGATGCTCTGGTGCCACACACTCGATGGAATTGCTTTCTAAATTTGGTTTGACCTGTGCTGAAATGGTATTCTCCGTCTGCTGCGGCTTTATTTCCACGCAAAAAACCACTACGTGAAACTCGGCGCGCTCGTCTGTTGAGCAAGAGGTTAGTGATTCGAGCACAGCAAGGGACGCTCTGTCATATGTAGCAACCTTGTGTTGGATGCAATGAATGGACTTTTGTGTTGAAACCTTGTTCCCATACCGGCCGCCTGGGTGAGAACCAGGAATCCTAACCGCTAGACCATATGGGATTCACCAGGTAAAAAAACACAAGAGATTGTGCTCCGCACTAGACTTGTGACCCAACACTGCAGCGGCAAGTGATTGTAATTGCTCAGCCTCAAGTATTCAATATGAGAGCAAAACATTCCCTTTGAAAGTGCTACCAGAGGAATTGTTTTAATGACACAACTGGCAATTGCAGGCAAAAAAAAAAATAAAAAAAATAAAAAGAATTTTTTTTTCCAAATTACAATTTGCTCAACATCTTTTTCTCGGAAATGTTGTTCCATGCATCCAACCGGAAAAAAGGGTCTTTAGAGGTTATTTTGTCTTTTGCAAGACGGGAGAGGTGTTGTCCAGGGGCCTTGAGACCGATGCTTTATGTATCTCAGAGAGGGCTTGCATTGGCCGGGAATCGAACCCGGACCTCCCGCGTGGCAGGCGAGAATCCTACCATTGGACCACCAATGCCTTACCAAGTCACTTTTAGGGTTTAAAAAAAAAAAAAAAATGGTTGGAGGAACCAAAAAATTCAAGAGCGGAACGCTTTTGCGACGGGGATGGGATTCGAACCCACGTGTGCAGAGCACAATGGATTAGCAGTCCATCGCCTTAACCACTCGGCCACCTCGTCGAAACCTTGAGAGTAAGAAGGGCTAGTGCCCGGCCGCACTTTGGGCAACGGACTTGTTGACGAGGAAGCGCCTCGCCATGGTCCTCTCTGGTCACACACCATGAGGAAGGGGAGCCATGCCCAAAGGACCAGTGGAAAGGATGGCGGTAACTTTATGCCTCTGTGTTAGTTCGCTAACACACCTACTAAAATTGGAACGATACAGAGAAGATTAGCATGGCCCCTGCGTAAGGATGACACGCAAATTCGTGAAGCGTTCCTCATTTTTGGCACCCCTGTTGTGCCATGGGATGCTCTGGTGCCACACACTCGATGGAATTGCTTTCTAAATTTGGTTTGACCTGTGCTGAAATGGTATTCTCCGTCTGCTGCGGCTTTATTTCCACGCAAAAAACCACTACGTGAAACTCGGCGCGCTCGTCTGTTGAGCAAGAGGTTAGTGATTCGAGCACAGCAAGGGACGCTCTGTCATATGTAGCAACCTTGTGTTGGATGCAATGAATGGACTTTTGTGTTGAAACCTTGTTCCCATACCGGGAGTTGAACCCGGGCCGCCTGGGTGAGAACCAGGAATCCTAACCGCTAGACCATATGGGATTCACCAGATAAAAAAACACAAGAGATTGTGCTCCGCACTAGACTTGTGACCCAACACTGCAGCGGCAAGTGATTGTAAATGCTCAGCCTCAAGTATTCAATATGAGAGCAAAACATTCCCTTTGAAAGTGCTACCAGAGGAATTGTTTTAATGACACAACTGGCGATTGCAGGCAAAAAAAATAATTAAAAAAATAAAAAGATTTTTTTTTTTCCAAATTACAATTTCCTCAACATCTTTTTCTCGGAAATGTTGTTCCATGCATCCAACCGGAAAAAAGGGTCTTTAGAGGTTATTTTGTCTTTTGCAAGACGGGAGAGGTGTTGTCCAGGGGCCTTGAGACCGATGCTTTATGTATCTCAGAGAGGGCTTGCATTGGCCGGGAATCGAACCCGGACCTCCCGCGTGGCAGGCAAGAATCCTACCATTGGACCACCAATGCCTTACCAACTCACTTTTAGGGTTTAAAAAAAAAAAAAAAATGGTTGGAGGAACCAAAAAATTCAAGATCGGAAGGCTTTTGCGACGGGGATGGGATTCGAACCCACGTGTGCAGAGCACAATAGATTAGCAGTCCATCGCCTTAACCACTCGGCCACCTCGTCGAAACTTTGAGAGTAAGAAGGGCTAGTGCCCGGCCGCACTTTGGGCAACGGACTTGTTGACGAGGAAGCGCCTCGCCATGGTCCTCTCTGGTCACACACCATGAGGAAGGGGAGCCATGCCCAAAGGACCAGTGGAAAGGATGGCGGTAACTTTATGCCTCTGTGTTAGTTCGCTAACACACCTACTAAAATTGGAACGATACAGAGAAGATTAGCATGGCCCCTGCGCAAGGAACACGCAAATTCGTGAAGCGTTCCTCATTTTTGGCACCCCTGTTGTGCCATGGGATGCTCTGGTGCCACACACTCGATGGAATTGCTTTCTAAATTTGGTTTGACCTGTGCTGAAATGGTATTCTCCGTCTGCTGCGGCTTTATTTCCACGCAAAAAACCACTACGTGAAACTCGGCGCGCTCGTCTGTTGCTCGTCTGTTGAGCAAGAGGTTAGTGATTCGAGCACAGCAAGGGACGCTCTGTCATATGTAGCAACCTTGTGTTGGATGCAATGAATGGACTTTTGTGTTGAAACCTTGTTCCCATACCGGGAGTTGAACCCGGACCACCTGGGTGAGAACCAGGAATCCTAACCGCTAGACCATATGGGATTCACCAGATAAAAAAACACAAGAGATTGTGCTCCGCACTAGACTTGTGACCCAACACTGCAGCGACAAGTGATTGTAAATGCTCAGCCTCAAGTATTCAATATGAGAGCAAAACATTCCCTTTGAAAGTGCTACCAGAGGAATTGTTTTAATGACACAACTGGCGATTGCAGGCAAAAAAAATAATTAAAAAAAATAAAAAGATTTTTTTTTTCCAAATTACAATTTCCTCAACATCTTTTTCTCGGAAATGTTGTTCCATGCATCCAACCGGAAAAAAGGGTCTTTAGAGGTTATTTTGTCTTTTGCAAGACGGGAGAGGTGTTGTCCAGGGGCCTTGAGACCGATGCTTTATGTATCTCAGAGAGGGCTTGCATTGGCCGGGAATCGAACCGGGACCTCCCGCGTGGCAGGCGAGAATCCTACCATTGGACCACCAATGCCTTACCAACTCACTTTTAGGGTTTAAAAAAAAAAAAAAAATGGTTGGAGGAACCAAAAAATTCAAGATCGGAAGGCTTTTGCGACGGGGATGGGATTCGAACCCACGTGTGCAGAGCACAATAGATTAGCAGTCCATCGCCTTAACCACTCGGCCACCTCGTCGAAACTTTGAGAGTAAGAAGGGCTAGTGCCCGGCCGCACTTTGGGCAACGGACTTGTTGACGAGGAAGCGCCTCGCCATGGTCCTCTCTGGTCACACACCATGAGGAAGGGGAGCCATGCCCAAAGGACCAGTGGAAAGGATGGCGGTAACTTTATGCCTCTGTGTTAGTTCGCTAACACACCTACTAAAATTGGAACGATACAGAGAAGATTAGCATGGCCCCTGCGCAAGGACGACACGCAAATTCGTGAAGCGTTCCTCATTTTTGGCACCCCTGTTGTGCCATGGGATGCTCTGGTGCCACACACTCGATGGAATTGCTTTCTAAATTTGGTTTGACC